TCAGTATTCAAATTTTAACAATAATAGCTGAGGATGGTAGTTCTAGAGAAAGGAGAGAAGGGTTCAAGAAGGAAGCCCTGGGGGTTATGTATAGAGAAAGAACTGTCAGGAGAAAAGAGTCACAGAAAAGAAGACTGAAGGAGTGCCCAACTCAAGGTACAGAAATTTGTTATTTTTCTCTACAAGCCTGATATAACTCCCATATTCCCCAACCAGGACAGGAATGATGTCATCAAAAGCACATCTGGAGCCAAATGGAGTCAATTCTTGTTTGTACATTAGTATGTATATTTTCCTTATCTAACCTTTATTCTTTTTCAGTGTTTTGATTCTAAGTTCACATGCTGTGTCTTATCTGGAATAAGTAATGTTCCTAGAAGTAAGAGGTGCCTTGATATCTTCATGGTAGATTTTAATTGTGCTTTTTTCCTAGCAGAATAAGCACCATTGGGAAGGGGTCTCATGAGAAAAATGAATGAAGCACTTTATGATTAATTAGCCCTGCCTAGACTATTGACAGATGAGAGGGACTTTTTTTTTTTTTTTTTTTGGTGTGTGTATCCAGAAGTTTGCATGGGAAAACTGTATCTAATATAAATGAAGATTTTCTTTGTCAAATATCTCTTTGTTAAAAAAAAAAAAACTGCTTTAGTAGTTTATCAATAGCATTTATTTGGTATCTGATATTTGTACATTGTTTTCCTTGATACCTTGAGGGGGGAAAGGAACCATTTTACTTACACAAAGGACTCTTTACTGTCTTTTAAAATAGTGAATATAATCTGATGTTTTATTTTTAAGACTCAGGACTATCATTTTATTGGTGTACTTTTGGTCTCTTGGACTGTAGGTTTACTGTTATGTTTTTGACTTAAGAGCAGTTTTTTTTTTTCCCCTGGATGTTCCTGAATGGGATAAATAGAAAAGTAGATATGTTGGAGGAGGCACTGGCCCACTGTTCACCTGGCCCACAGGAGGGTGGCCTCCCAGGTCCAGGAGGGCCATAGAGGTGGGGTAGGGTAGGGAGGGGGAGGGAATGCAGAGCCTCTGCCTTTGTGGTTGGAGAGTCTTTACCTCTTGTTTCCTGGATATTCTTAGATGTGAACCCCAGTGGAGCAGCCTGATAGACAAGCCACCCTGGGTACCTGAGGAGGGTCAGCTGCTCCTCTACCTGTAGAAATAGGAGTGGACCATTGGTTGAAGGAGAGAGTTGTGCTCTTTGTTTCTCTGGCAATAAACTGGTCTTTGGAGATCACTGTAAAATTATAATGGATAAAAAATTGGACAGGTGTCACTTGAAGATACCAGCACAAATGGAACAGTAATTAACAAGTTGGAGGTTGTTAAGCTTACTTGCCTTTTTCCTGGAGATGTCTACTTTGGTGTACATTGGAATACAGTGGGGCATACCTCTGTGGTTCTTTACATGAAAAGCAAGACATAACATAAGAATCTTTTGAAGCTGATAAAGAAAATGTATTCCATAAGAACAAAGATAATCTCGGGGCTGGACAAGGTCATGATCCCCAGATCCTGCCATATTGACTGCCACTAGGTGGGTTTGAGGAACCACTATCATTGACATTGATGTTGGACCTCTTCAAGACAGTGTCTACCTCTTTCATAGAGTCTTTTGCAGAGCATTTCTCCAGTTTCAGATCTGGGGGTGCGAGTATCCCCTATGAAAGCCTTGCAGAGATTGGGCTGCTCCATTGGGAGGAAATGAAAGGAGGCGCACCTGGGTGGCTCAGTCGGTTAAGCATCTGCCTTTTGCTTAGTTCGTGATCCCCGGGTCCTGGGATTGAACCCTACATCAGGCTCCCTGCTCAGTGGGGAGTCTATTTCTCCATCTCTCTCTGCCCCCTCCCCCCCATGCTCTGTCTCTTACTCTCTCTAATAAGTAAATAGTGGTTTGTTTTTTTTTTAAATGAAAGGAGATGGGGAGGCTAATCTGAACTTGCAGTTGATTGTTTCATACCAGTGTGGAAACACCCAAAGATTAAGCATGGGTATCAGAGCTGCAGCCATCATGCTCATGTGCATCATCTGTCAGGAGTTGCTGCACAGCTACATGAGATTGCAGCCCAGGAGTGTTTTGTGTTTTTTTTTTTTAAATCAATTTGTGGTTATGTTTTATTTTTTTTTAAGATTTTATTTATTTATTTGAGAGAGAGAGAATGAGAGATAGAGAGCACGAGAGGAAAGAGGGTCAGAGGGAGAAGCAGACTCCCCGCCGAGCAGGGAGCCCGATGCGGGACTCGATCCCGGGACTCCAGGATCATGACCCCGAGCCAAAGGCAGTCGCTCAACCCACTGAGCCACCCAGGCACCCCCAGAGTGTTTTTATTGTCTGATTATAGAATCATTGAAAACACCATGTGTTAATGTGCCCTGGGCATTTTCCACAAGTTGACATACCAGTATTGGCGAACATTCCTACTTTCCAGTTGCCAGTGGCTTTAACATCCTATCCTGATTTGTGTTGGGGCCACAACTGCTATACTCACTCAGTGAGATTCAGTCATATCATTGAACAGATGTTTAAGACCTAAGTGTCAGGGAAGGCACCAAGATGGCTTCAGAGTATTGGAGGTCATTGACAGGGTGTTTCAAGAACTACTCGGTCTTAAACTTCTTAAGGTCATTTTTATAGTGCCTCTCAAGGGAAACTGGGGAGACATTAGGTACTCTGGTGTGACTTTTCTTATGTGGAGTTTTCCTTTGAGTAAGGCTTTTCAGTGACCACATCTTCAATTCATATCTAGCCTAAGGCTTAAGAGGGTATGCTCTTTTTTTAAGAGGTCATGTTCTTGACCACAGCTCTGGAACAAGAACACAAGGGGTCAGGAAGCTCTGGGCACCAAGCAGTCCCTTTGCTGATTACTTTGGGTCTTGGCCTGATGCATCACCACATCTGAGAGCTCTTCCCTTGCTTTTCCACAGCTACAGGTCACACTCGTGTGTATCTCCCATGTTATTTTATTCCTTCCCTGCTTTCCTGTGATTGATGCCTTGAGACCCTGGGTTGTGGGGCAGGTGGGTGAGTGTGGCAGGCATGGCAGGCTAAGGTTTGGGGTGGGGGCTGTGTGTATGTGTGTGGTGGTGCATCTGGCTCATGGTGCTCTAGTCTTAACCGTGTGCATCTATGGAGCAGACCCTTCTGACTTGAGACCCTGGAGAGTGTGTGAATGGTGCATGAGGGACCATTTCCAGCTGTGATGCTGGAAGCCGCCCATCTGTATGGCCATTGCTTCCTCTAGTTCTTACCCTTGTCCTTTTTTCTGTGTTAGGTTTGCTAGGTCATCTGGGGGGATATTAGGAACTTTTTTTAAAAGTAGGCTCCATGCCCAACGTGAGGCTAGAACTCAGGATCCTGAGATAAGAGTTAAAATGCTCTACTGACTGAGCCAGCCAGGGGCCTCAGGAATTTTAATTTTTTAAAGTTGTTTTTTTTTTTTTGCTTGAAATCACCTGTTAATGTTTGTTAGTAAAAACTTGTAACTTTTTGCTTCTTAGGAAAATTTTCAACTGTTGTCTTGCTCATGATGCAAACTCTGAGAAGCAGCACTCTATTTGTGGAAGAAAGTGCTTTTTTGTATTCTAGTAAACAATCTGTTCGTTTAAAAAAATTCTATTTAAAGTAAGCATAAAAACCTTGAGTAAGAGCATGCTATCACCTGACTCAAATTTTAGTGAATGGACCCCAGCATTTATTGTTTTTTTTAAGGTTGTTTTTCCTATATTCTTGAACTATTTATTTTGATTGAAGTAGGTATATAAATGATTTCAGTGTTGATACTCCTAGTAATACAGCTGTTACTGTCTCATTATTTAAAATATTTCTATAAATGGGGGCGCCTGGGTGGCTCAGTCGTTGGGCGTCTGTGTTCGGCTCGGGTCATGATCCCAGGCTGCTGGGATCAGGCCGCGTGTCGGGCTCCCTGCTCCGTGGAAAGCCTGCTTCTCCCTCTCCCACTCCCCCGCTTGTGTTCCCTCACTCGCTGTGTCTCTCTCTGTCAAATAAATAAGTAAAATCTTTAAAAAAAAATTTCTATAAATGTATTTGTAATAAAATACAAATATAACAATAAGGGAAGAAAATTGAATAAAAAACTAAGTACAGATACACTGAAGATTACAGCCTCATCTATTTTATATCAAGGGATTTGCATTTTGGGGGAAGGAGTAAATCAGCCAAAAGTAGATGATGAGATTAAAGTATATTCCTAGATAGTATATAAGAATACAGGGAATGACATTGAATATGATATAGAAAATGGGACTTTACCGAGTGATCTACTTTAATTATAAAACTGCAGTGGTAGCTTCTCCAGTGGAAGATGGAGAAATTTTGTTTCATGGGAAGTTGTGAGTTTCTATATTTCTAGTGGTATAAAAATTTTTGATTTGAATGAAATGGAAAAGGCATCATATTACCTTATTCATTTGTTTGTATAGTTAATGTATAATCACAGCATTTGTGTGAAAGCCAAGAATTAGATTTCTTTTTTAAACATATATATATAAATACTATAACATTTATATATGTATATATATATATAAATTTTTTTAAAAAAGACTTTATTTATTTGGCAGAGAGAGAGAGAGAGAAAGAGAGAGCACAAGCAGGGGCAGAGGGAGAGGGAGAAGCAGGTTTCCTGCTAAGCAGGGAGCCTGATGCGGGGCTCAATCCCAGGACCCTTGGATCATGACTTGAGCCGAAGGCAGACGCTTAACCGACTGAGCCACCTAGGCTCCCCATTAATATATTTTTTAAGTAATCTCTATGCCTAATGTGGGGCTCTAACTCAACGACCCCCCAAATCAGGAGTTGCACACTCTACCAACTGAGCCAGCCAGTAGCCCCAAATAGATGTATTTTTTAACAAGAGGAAATGAAATTTAATTTCATATGTATGGGGAGCCCCACAGACATAAAATTCCTTAAGTAGAATTCTTTATTTACCCTGTATGTGAATTTTGTCTTTCTGTGTAGAAAGAATCTGCATTCAGGAGGAAATAATCCAGGAGAAGGAAGACCAAGCAGATCAAGATGTGTAGCTCTGTGGCAGCCAAGTTGTGGTTTTTGACAGATCGTCGAATCAGGGAAGACTATCCCCAAAAAGAGATTTTACGAGCATTAAAGACCAAATGTTGTGAGGAGGAATTGGACTTTAGAGCCGTGGTGATGGATGAGGTGGTACTGACAATCGAGCAAGGAAACCTGGGTAAGTCTATACTAAGTAATTTAATGGATTTTTTTCTTAGAATATCTTGAATCCACATTTTTTAGGAATAGTTTGGAGGAAGGAATTATTAGCTTTATTGTTACGAAGTATCATCTAATCTTAAAATCTAGCATATGTTTTGGTTTTTTTTTTTTTAAGATTTTGAGAGAGAGCACAAGCCACTTAACCGACTGAGCCACCCGATATTTTGGGCCCCCCAAATCTATATGTTATGGAAGAAATGGAAACATCAGTATTTATTGAACTTCTTATTATGTAGAAAATAGTTGGGAGAGAAATTAAAGATGATCTATTTTCCCCCCCATTATTGCTGTCTAATTTTAAAAGACCTTGTTTATAAAGTGCTCATAAGAGAATTTGTACCTCATGGGGGTCCTTTTAATAAATGCATCAAATTCCACATGTGATTCTTAATTTTCTTTATAAAATATTTTATGCATATAGTATAAAATGCCAATAGAATTTTATTCTTTTTACTGGATAGAAGTGTCCTAATGATTTGACTCAGTTGGTGATAAGTCTGGTATTTTTAATGTTTCATGTTTGTTTTAAGGTTATAAGAGGAAGATATCTTAGAAATATAGAAATTCTTGGGGCGCCTGGGTGGCTCAGTCGCTAAGCGTTTGCCTTCGGCTCAGGTCATGGTCCCAGGGTTCTGGGATTGAGCCCCGCGTCGGGCTCCCTCTCCCACTCCGCCTGCTTGTGTTCTCTCTCTGTCAAATAAATAAATAAAAAATCTTAAAAAAAGAAAAAGAGAAATTCTTTTGATCTGACTTAGGAGTCTTTACATCTTTGGAAAATTATGACTTGTTATAGCTAAATTGGTCATTTCTGTTAAGGAGCATCATATGGTGGCATATACATGAAATTTTTAATTAACTTTCAGAAAATACTTCATAGTTTACTGATAGTATTGTATTAAAGTATAAGACAAACACTTAAAATAGATTCTACATAACTTGTTTTGTGTCTAGAATCATAATGAGACCATATGTTTTAATTTTCTCACCAATAAAATGGAGAGAGATAGTTATTGTGGGAATTAATATTATTGAGTATGTGAATCTGCTGTTAGGGTAATTTCATTCATACAGTAGTTAATGGATCTAGAATCTTACCTGATAACATGATCCTGTAGTTTAAGTAGGTAGAATCTCTTAGCAGTTACTCTTTTTTTTTTTTTTTTAAAGATTTTATTTATTTATTTATTTGAGAGAGAGAATGAGATAGAGCATGAGATGGGGGAGTGGGAGAGGGAGAAGCAGGCTTCCCACAGAGCAGGGAGCCCAATGTGGGGCTCGATCCCAGGACCCTGGGATCAGGACCTGAGCCGAAGGCAGACGCTTAACGACTGAGCCACCCAGGTGCCCCTTAGCAGTTGCTCTTTAATCTGCCCTCTTGACATTTAATTCATTCTCATTACCTTTCAACAGTTACTGTTTTGTCAGCAGATCTTTAATATGTAAATTAATGTACATCAGAGACTTAATAGAAAAACAATGATCCCCATTTTGGTATAAATGATCCTCATTGCTAATTTAGGATCAAAAGTTATTATTACTGGGCGCCTGGGTGGCTCAGTCGTTAAGTGTCTGCCTTCAGCTCAGGTCATGATCCCAGGGTCCTGGGATCGAGCCCCGCATCAGGCTCCCTGCTCCGCGGGAAGCCTGCTTCTCCCTCTCCCTCTCCCCCTGCTTGTGTTCCCTCTCTCGCTGTCTGTCTCTCTGTCAAATAAATAAATAAAATCTTTAAAAAAAAAAAAGTTATTATTACTGTAGAAATAACTTCTTTAGAACTGAACTGTTTCTAGATTGTTTCATTTGAGTGTATAAGTAGTAACTACCTTTACAGGAAACATGTACAGTATTTTATTTTAGTCAAGCTTTCTTTTTTTTAATATATACACCTAGATCTAGCACTTAGTTATTCTGATTCTGAAGATTTGGTGTATAGAGGCTGTTCCATTCTTTCATACGTATAATTTAAGTATTTACTGTGTGCTAGTTAATTGGTATGGTGTGCAGAATGAGACAGGCTAAGATTAACATTAATCAAGTCATCACACAAATAAGTGTAAAATTGTTATAACTTTGGTAAATTATAAAAGGTATGGATGTCACTTTGCACCCCCCTCCCTGCACCTATGACAGATACTCTGATCAAACCAATTAAAATCCCGAATCTAGGGCGCCTGGGTGGCTCAGTTGGTTAAGCTGTCTGAATCTTAATTTCAGCTCAGGTCCTGATCCTCAGGGTCCTGGGATCCAGCCCCTTTGGACTCTGTGCCTAGGGGGGAGTCTGCTTGAGATCCTCTCCCTCTGCCCCTCCCCCTGCTCGTGCGCATGTGCCCTCCCTCTCTAATATAAATACACATTTTCTCTCTAAAATAAATAAATAAAATCCAGAATCTATCACATTCTTTTACAATTCACAGTTTTTCAGCATAAGTGCATGTACAAACTGTTGAGATTGGAGTTAGAAATTTGGACACTGTATTGTGTTAGGAGCCATGCTCTTGAAGTATGTGAGAAGAGGCTTAAAGGCCAGTGTGGTACATAGCTCACTAAGCACCACTTTCACAGGCTTATGGTGTATGCTTCTGCATTTTATTTATTTTTTAAAAAGATTTTATTTATTCATTTGACAGCACAAGTAAGGGGAGCAGCAGTCAGAGGGAGAGGTGTTACTATGTTTTAAAAGTTGGAAAACCAAAGGCTGCATAAACATGTATTGGCAAGGATATAGAGAAATTGGAACCTGCCTACATTGATAAAGGGAATGTACAATGTGGCAGTCTCTTTGGGAAAAAGTTTGGCAGTTCCTCTGAAGGTTGGACGTAGAATTACCACAGGATCCATCCCACTCCTGCATACATACCTAAGAAGAGTGACAGCGTATGTTTGGGAGTCTGTAAGATGGGTTGGTGTTAATTGTTCTTTAAATATTTGGTAGACTTCACCAGTGAAAACACCTGGTGCTGTGCTTTTCCTTGGAGATTTTGGATTACTGGTTCAATATGTCTGTTCTGATTTTTTTATTTCTTATTCAGTCTTACTAGGTTGTATGTTGCTAGGAATTTATCCATTTTTTTCTTGGTTATCCAATCATATAATTTTTCATAGTCATCTCTTACAATCTCATTTCTGTGATGTCCATTGTAATATCTCCTTTCATTTTGAATTTTTGTTATTTAAGACCTCTCTTTTTTCCTTAGTCTAACTAAAGGTTTGTCAATTTGTTGATATTTCCAAAAGATAGTGTTGGTTTTTTTCTGTTTCTTTTTTCTATTTAGGTTATTTGTGTAGATTCTAATCTTTATTTTTCTTTTTCTGTTAACTGTGGGTTTAGTTTGTTCTTCCGCTTGTTTATGGTGTAAGGTTGTTGATTTGAGATTTTTCTTTTTAACGAGCTTTTTTTTTTTTATGTGCATGCTTATAGCTGTACACTTTACTTTTAACACTGCTTTCACCACATCCCATAAGTTTTGGTATGCTGTATTTCGCTTTTGTCTGAAGGTATGTCTCATTTCCCTTGTGACATCTTTTGTCTTATTTAAGTGTGTGTTATTTAGGGGTGTCTGGGTGGCTTAGTCCGTTAAGCATCTGACTCTTGGTTTCACCTCAGGTCCTGATATTAGGGTTGTGAGATCGAGTCCCGTATTGGACTCAGTGCTGGGCACGGAGCCTGCTTAAGATTCTCTCTCCCTTTGGCTCTCCCCACCCCCCTCCAAAAAAAAACTGTTATTTAATTTCCAGATATTTGTGAATTCTGTTTCCTTTTGTTATTAATTTCTAGTTTCGTTTCTAGAAAAGATACTTGGTATGATATCAGTATTCTTAAATTTGTTGATTTGCTTTGTGGCTTAAGATGTAATGGATCCTGGGCGCCTGGGTGGCTCAGTTGGTTGAGCCACTGCCTTCGGCTCGGGTCATGATCCTGGAGTCCCGGGATCGAGTCCCACATCGGGCTCCCTGCTCAGCGGGGAGTCTGCTTCTCCCTCTGACCCTCTTC